GTTTACTACACACACACACACACACACATATATATATATATATATATATATATATATATATATATATATATATATATAGTCAAAGTCGAGCAATATATCACAAGAAATAACCCTATTATATATAGTCAAAGTCGAGCAATATATCACAAGAAATAACCCTATATAGGCTTGTCATTACTTTTAAAAAAATGATTTAACAAATAAACCAAATAAATAAATGAAATACTGAATCATTAGAAGATAACTTTGTTATAAGCTTTGCATATCACAACTCTAAAGAAAAACTTCAAATAAGCATTATGTACAACATGATAAAGAACTTACTCCAGAATTGTCTTCAATGTTTCATCTTCAGACTCAGAGTCCTTTGTAAAACCTATTTTGCTCCTTCCTTGAACTTCAGCAGTTATGGCACCCTCCACTTGGACATGCTTTCTGTTATTGTTGTTTTTCCTCCTTGATCCACAATCACGATAAAATCAGGACCACAACAAATGACCATCATTCACTCAAAAGCTATCGAAGTTATCACTATTTTCCTTAAATTCCATGTAATATTTCTGTAATGTCCAATGGTAATCTAAATAACATATGTAGGTGATTCATCTTGAATGCTGGCTTACAATGAGCATCATAGATAGAAGTCGATCAGGAGTTGAAATTTGAAATAATGATGTATATCAATATATAGTCAAAGCCGAGCAATATATCACAAGAAATAACCATGTATAGGGTTGTAAACTTACTATTCTATTTAAACAATCTCAATAAAAGAAACAAAAACAAAACAATGAAAAAAAAAGAAAATGATTTGAAAATAAACCAATAAATAAATGAATACTAAATCATTAGAAAACTCTGCTATAAGCTTACATATCATAGCACTAAATAAAAACTTTAAATAAGCATTTTGTACAGTATGATAAAGAACTTACTCCAAAATCGTCTTCAACGTTTCATCATTAGAATCAGAGTCCCCTGTAAAACCTATTTTGCTCCTTCCTTGAACTTCAGCAGTTATGGCACCCTCCACTTGGACATGCTTTCTGTTATTGTTGCTTTTCTTCCTTGATCCACAATCACGGTAAAATCAGGACCACACAAGAGATGACCATAATTCACTCAAAAGTTATCGAAGTTATCATTATTTTCCTTAAATTCTATGTAATCCATATAATGTGTCAAATTTTAGGATAAAAAGTTTTGAGGGTCACACAATAATGAAGTGAATAAAGGAACTAAAAATAGTTATAAAGATTACAAATCAACTTCCATCCCTACGGTGCAAAATAATGATGCAGTTAATTTCATCAAAACTAATGTTTAGAAAAGCATGATGCAAGTGATGCACATTGGCCATGGAAGGCAACCCATGAAAATTTCAAGATGTGAAGCATGTCTCATAAATCAACATTTTTAGTATACTAGTAAGAATAAAAGATTAGTAAAAATATCAATGACTATTGGAGAAAATCTAGAAAGAGAAAAAATTGGAGAAAACTGAATTCACATTTTTCTACAGCAACGAGTTTTTAAATAACACGGCTTCAGTAAGAGACTTCAAATAGAGATAGATTGTATACTATAAGACTATTCACTTTGGGTACGAGGACACAATCACTTTTACCCATTGGATGAGAAATCCGATAGATTGAAGTCTATCACAACATTCAAGAAATTTTATTTTGGACTATGTCTGTAATGTCCAATGGTAATCTAATTAATATATGTAGGTGAGTCATCTTGAATGCTGGATTACGATGAGCATCATAGACAGAAGTCTATAAAGAGTTGAAATTTGAAACAATGATGTTTATATATATAGTCAAAGCCGAGCAATTTATCACAAGAAATAACCCTGTATAGGATTGTAAACTTACTGATCTATTTAAAGATCCTCAATAAAAGAAACAAAAACAAGAAAAAGAAAAATGATTTGAAAAATAAACCAAATAAATAAATGAATACTGAATCATTAGAAGTTAACTCTGTTATAAGCATACATATCATAGCACAAAAGAAAAACTTTAATAAAGAATTTCGTACAACATGATAAAGAACTTACTCTAGAATTGTCTTCAATGTTTCATCATCAGACTCAAAGTCCTCTGTAAAACCTATTTTGTTCCTTCCTTCAACTCCAGCAGTTTTGGCACCCTCCACTTGGACATGCTTTCTGTTATTGTTATTTTTCCTCCTTGATCTACAATCACGGTAAAATCAGGACCACACAATAGATGACCATAATTCACTCAAAAGCTATCAAAGTTATCACTATTTTCCTTAAATTCCATGTAATCCATATAATGTGTCAAATTCTAACATAAGAAGTTTTAAGGGTCACACAATAATGAAGTGAATAAAGAAACTAAAAATAGATAGAAATTACAAATCAACTTCCATCCCTACGGTGCAAACAATGATGCAGCCAATTTCATCAAAACTAATGTTTAGAAAAGCATGATGCAAGTGATGCACATTGTCCATGAAGGCACCCATGAAAATTTCAAGTTGTGAAGCATTTGCCTCATTAATCAATGTTGCAGCCAGAGGATGATGCCTGAGACATCATTGCATTGAGGTTGGAAAGATCCTATGAAGGCGCTTTCAAAGCATGCTATACGGATTGTAATCTCTTGATTTGTAGAGAACCAAATATGAGTAGAAGAGTTGAAGAAAGTAACATGATGATCTGGGTGAAGACAAGGATGGGAATGAGTTAGGTTGGGTTGATGGGTGGGTCTGGCTGGTGTGTTGGCTGCCACTTAGAGCGAAGCTTCTAGTGGAAAAGTTTGGGGGAGACGGATCTGCAGGGGCTGAAAAGTGGGGTTAGGGGCTGGGCTAAGTGGCGTTGAGGAGTGGTGGAGAAGAAAGTTTTGGGCTTTGCTCTTCGACTACATGAAGAGGTAGAATTGGGGGGTTTGAGGATAGGGAAGTCTGTTGAGAGAGGTTAAGCGGACCTTGAGAAAAAGAGAACTAAAAATGGTGAGACTTATTGTGGGGTGGTGGTGGCTTGGACAGGTGGTTTCTCGGGGTGAGAGGTGGTTTTCTGAGGTTTTTGGGGCGAAGTTGGGGCTGGTAAAGATGGGGGTTCCTGCGCTAAGGAGCAGGACGAAAGTGATGCGGGTCTTTGGGGTTTCTAGGGGGAGGGCTGGCTTATAGTGGTGGGGGACCCTGGAAGAAGAGGGATGCTGAGAGTGGTGGCGATTGTTGTGATGACGAGGGTTTCTGAGATAACCGGGTAGGGGTTGCCAGGAGTGGAGGTGTTTAAGGTGGTGGTCGTGGTATTGAGGTGTAGGCTGGTAATGGTAGGTGGATCAGAAAGAAGAGGGTTGCTGAGAGCGGTGGTAATTGTTGTGGTGACGAGGGTTTCTGGGGTAATTGGGTAGGGGTTGTCGAGAGTGGTGGTGGTTAAGGTGGTGGCTGTGGTATTGAGGTGAAGCCTTCACCGTGAAGGCTGGTAATGGTAGGTGGATCTTGAATGCTCTGGTAGGAGAGGCTTGAATGCTTGACGGGGTCTGGTTCTCCCATTACGGGTAAAACGGACTTACTTATCCTGCATTAAACTTACCAAAAATAAGAATAAGCCTCCCAAACAAAATAAAAGATATCCTAAAAACAAACGGCAAAGGTTTACTAAACAACCAAAACGTAACCCTAACTCAATAAATATAATTCCTTAAAAAGAAAAACCTAATAAAAATTACAAGTAAACCTGTCAAATCAAAACAAAAATATAAAACATAATGGATTTGACAATCTCTTGATGTGCATCCTTGTCCCCTAGTTGGAAAAAACTCGTCCTCAAGTTTTGAAATAAGCTAAAATGAATTTCATGTTAGTCTTACAACCTTTTTTAACCTGAATATTGAAAACACGATCCTGAGATTCGTAGTTTATTACACTAATCAAAAGACAATAATTGTGCATTGAAACTGAGAAACCCTTGAGGAAAGGGTCATTATATGTCGACAGAATATATTTAGTCACATAAACTTGTTGAAATTGAATCAGTTCAGCTATGTCCTTGTTGAAATTGCTTATGCTCAGCCCTAAAACATACCAAGGGAGCATTTTCGAGATCAGCACTTTCAATGTTGAACGAACTTCACATATTGATTCTCCTTTGAGTCCATCTTTTTCTTCGTCAACTATCGATTCAACCTCAAAATTTTGATCATCGTAGACCGAATGTCCTACAAAATCTTGTTCTTTATCTAAATACGCATAAAAAATTGGTAGCAGATGCCAATCTATAACCTCTTGATTTCCAATACAACCTATGCCAAAATCAATAATGTTCTCCTTCAATTCATGTAAATAAACTTTAATGTTGAAATCCCAAGATCTACTATCCCGAACATGAGGCTCTTGACGCAGAGCATATGCATAGAACAGGTTCTCAAAAGCAGCTTCTGACTCACAGTCGTCATCATGGTGTGTCAGAGCTGGGTTTTGTGCCAAGCGTTGGGCCAACTCCTCAATTTGTCTTCTCAAGACTTCTATCTCAATGTCTCCAAGGTCTTGTTCTCACTGGATGGGTTCATTCCCAATACCCGGCCATCGACTACATCCAGCAGCCATGATGCCTTATCAACAAACACCATGATCCCATAAAGAACCTACGCTTTGATACCACCTGATAGAGCTGAAAATTACTAGTAGCCAATGACCAACAATACAGCTCTGTTTTTAGAGAGAAAAGGAGTGGACTGAGAAGAAATCGCAAGAAAAAGGGTATAAACGCAAAGAGTTGAGATCTCTACTACACACCACAAGGAAGAGAACCAAGAGAAAAGCTCTCTCTCTCTCTC